GACAGTGAAAGGGGAAGTAAGAAGTCACCCCCCGGGGTGCTGGCCACGCCACAGTCCCTCCTCTTCCATTCTCCTCCTGGGGTTTTGGGCATGCACGCGCATGCACCTGGTATGAGTTTCAGGCCACTGGGTCTGGAACTCTAACTGCAGTTGGCCATGTGGGAGCCACTTGCTAGCCCCCGGATTGACTTTTATTAGAGCGCTGATAAGTGTGCTCTGCTCAAAGCCATTTCAGTGAGGTAGTTGGAGTCTTCTTCTGAGACTTTATTAGGGGTATATCAGTTATAACCATCGTTTACTTGGCATTTTTTCTAAGGAAGTGTTACTTAATTTTTTATAAATTAAACAATGCATTGCTAGTGATACTTACTATGTTTTATTTATACTCTAGTTTTCTTCTAGAGAGCTCCCTGTATTGAGTACATACTAAATGGAACTGAATTTTAAATTAGTTTTACATGCTCTTGACATAGATACTATTAAAATATTTAGAGTAATAAAGTATTTGTTTTTTGAAGGAAAGTTTTTGTTTTGTCAGGGGTCATGTGTGCTTGTGGGAGAGTGGGGGAGAAAGTGAGCATGGTTAGCGGTCCTTCGGGAATTTGGGTGTATGTGCACACTCGCAATGTGTGCTTTTCAAGCTGTCAGGTCTGGGATTCGAACCACACAGTTGGCCCTGTGAGATCCAGCTGCCTTAACTACCATGCCACCAGCTGACTCCTGAAGCAAAGCTGTAAAATTTATATTAAAGAGATGATTTTGAAAACTAAGTTTATTTTCTGGTTAATTTCCATAGATTTTTTTTTTCCAATGGCCAGAGTATACATGTGGTTGCATACTTGAGAGAGAGAGAGAGAGAGAGAGAGAGAGCGCGCGCGCACGCAAGAGCGTGGGCCTGCGTCAGCATGCATGACCCTCTAGGAGACGTGATCATGCTACAGTCTTTTTCCTCCGTTTTCTATCCTTCCAGGATTCTGGACGTGCATACACATGTGTCTGGTGTGTTTTTCAAGCCACTGTAGACAGAATTTGAGCTATGGTTGACCATATGTGATCTGGTTCCCTATGTACAGGTCTCAACTACTGCGCTGTGGAGCTGGCCCACCACAAAAGTCTTTTTAAATTATTTAATTTTATTTGTTTTTATTATTATTTGATTGCTGTAGGGCATGTATACTCACCAGAGAGAGACAGAAAAAGTTGAGAAAGCTAGCCACCAAGTCTGGGACTCTAACTGCAGCCAGCTAATGCCTAAACCATTATTATGCCTCTTGTCGTCCCCCACACAAAAATCTTTTTTAAGTGAATAAGAATTACATTGTTTTTTATCATCTAAATGTTTGCCTTAGAAGACAAGTGTTCTGTTTTATTTTACCATGTTTGTAGGTCTGTATTCTTCAGTTGCTTCAGAGAATCTTTTTTTCTGAATTTGTTTCATTATTTAGAAGCCAAAGTCAATATAATTGGGACAGTAACATTTTTGTAAATAGTGTGTTTTATACCACTTTTTTTTTTTAATTACCAGAGGGCATGTGTGCTCACCGGAGAGAAAAAGTACCTCTAGCAGGGTGTGGTCATGCTGCAGCGCTCTCTCCATTTCTCCATCCTGTTGGGATTTGGGGCAACCATATACATTTGGTTGGCGTGTTTTTTTCAAGTCACTGAAGTGGACCGTTTGGGATCTGGCTCTCTTAGCCACTAGGCTATGGGGCCAGCCTGGGTTAATGTAACTTTAATGTAATCTGGTTTTTGCAAGGAGAACTAAAGATGTTAATTAGTTGTATTATCTCCTTTTTAAAAAATTTCAAATAGTGTTTACTTACTGAATATAACAAGGTCCTGACTCTATTGTTCCTGTTTGATATATTTGATAGGCTCACGTGTTCCCCGTTCAACCACCATTTGTGGAAGAATCAGATGACTGCCTCCCTAGAGTTCTAAACAGCAATCCTCCCCTCCTCATAAAGGTACCAGAATTGTGCATTTCTATCTTTCTTCTTTAAATGATGAATTATTGTAATTAATCTTATTTATTGTTATTACAATTATTGTTTAATTTGCTATAGAGCATGTGTGCTCACTAGAGAGAGACAAAGTGAGAAAGCAAGCTGCCAGGTCTAGGACTTGAACTGTGGTCTGCCATGTGGGAGTCCAGCACCTAATGACCATGCCACCTACTAGCCCCATCATTTATGTCTTTCAAAGTTACTTCCAACTTAACTTGCAGGATGAACTTAATATTTAGCATATTTAAGTATTTTTTATTAAATTTTATTTGTGACAGAGATTGTGTGCATGTATATGCATGATAAAGAGGGAGAAAATCACCTTCAACAGAGTCTGGTTGCAATATGATCTCCTTTCCCCCCAGCCCTCCAGCACATCAGGATCTTGGGCATGCCTATATACACTCCCTGTTTCAGTCAGACTGGGCTGGGAACCTGAACCCACAGTTGGCCATGTGGCTCCCAGCACTGCCGTTTGTTATAGTACTGGCTGTGCCACAGAGATTGGGCCAGGGTATGTATGTATTTTTTTGAGAGAAGTTTTCGCTATAGGTTGTGTGCGTTTGCCAGAAGGACAGAAACAGAGAGATAGAAAGCAAGAAATCACTCCCCTGGGGGGATGGCCACCCCACAATCCCTTCTCCTCCATTCTCCTCTCATGATCTTGGGCACGTACAAATGCACACGCGCCCAGTGTGTGTTTAAGCCACCGGGTCCGGGACTTGAACCACGGTCAGCTACATGGCAGTTCAGCGACATAGCTATTACGCTAACTACTGGTCCCTTTTTTTTTTTTTTTTCTTTTTGAGAGGTTTTTGTCATAGGGCATGCGTACTCTCCAGAAAGACTGAGACAGAAGTGAGAAATCACCCTCGGGGGGTGGGGAGGGGGATGGCCACACCACAATCCCTTCTCCATTCTCCTCTCAGGATCTTGGGCACATACGCATCTGGTGTGAGTTTAAGCTACTGGGCCTGGCACTCGAACTGCGGTCAGTTACATGGGAGTCCAGTGATATAGCCATTATGCCAACTTCTGGTCCCAGGCCTGGGTATATTTTTTGAGGGCCTAGAATATTCTAGTATTGGTATTGTAAGAATGACCTACTTGCCGCTCCTGTTTATTTTTTCAGTTTTGAATCCAAGTGACTAAAATGGAAGTAAATAAGTGTAGTATATGTATAGTGTAGTATATGTGTACAAGCTAACCAATTCTATATTCAGAAAAGAATAAAAATATTTCTAAGGATAAAATGATATCCAACCATATGCATTAGTGGTTTGCAATTATGTATGGTAGTGAAATAAAACACTGTGTGTTTTTTAAGGTTTTTGCCACATGAGTTCACTAGAGTGACAGAGTGAGAGGGAAAGTGAAAAATCACGCTCCAGAGTGGGTGGCCACATCATACACCCTTCTGGGATCCTGGGTACAAGCACGTGATGTGATTCTCAAGCCACTAGCTCGAAGACTTGAACTGTGGTTGGCCATGTGGGAGTCTAGTGCCTTAACCACTGTGCCACCTGTTCGCTACACATTGTTTTATTTTATTTTAATTAACTTTTTTTTGAGAGGTTTTTGCTATAGGGTGCGTGTGTTCGCTAGAAAGAGAGAGAGAGAGAAAAAGTGAGAAATCATCCCCTGAGGGGCTGGCCAAGCCGCAATCCCTTCTCCTCCATTCTCCTCTCAGGATCTTGGGCATGTACGCACATGCGCCCAGCGTGAGTTTAAGCCACTGGGTCCATGACTCAAACAGCGGTCGACTACATGGGAGTCCAGTGACATAGCCATTATACTAACTGCTGATCCCAATTAATTAATTCATTTTTAAGAGAGATTTTGCTATAGGGCGCATGTGCTCATCAGAGAGACAGATAGATACAAGAGAGACAGAAAGCAAGATATCACCCTTCCTCCATTCTCCTCTCAGGATTTTGGGCTCACATGCACAAGCGCATGGCATGAGTTTTAAGTTGCCAGGTCCAGGACTTGAACCATGGTCAACTATGTGGGAGTCCGGTGATGTAACCATTATGCTATCTGCTGGTCCCACATTGTTTATTTTTACTTTTTTAGCTTTATTTTATTTATTTGTTTAATTTGACCAGAGAGAAACAGAGTGAGGGGGGAGGCGAGAAAGCAAGCCGCCAGGCCTGGGACTCGAACCATGGTCAGCTATGTGGGAGTCCAGTGCCCTTAACCACCACACCACCTGTTGCCCTCCCCACGTTGTTTATTTTTTAATCACTGGATCTAGACATGTTTTTACTTGTGTAATATTTGTTGGCTTTTGTGACAGAAGGTAGTGCTTGGTAGTTTATAGACATTTAGTGAGCTCTTTAAATATGAATTATTGATAATGATCCTAAAGCAAATTTTAATCAGAAGACTTCTTTTCTTTTTAATTTTTAAGTTACTCTTTCATTTAGCTTTATTTATTTTTATTTGACCAGAGAGGAGGGGGAGGAGAGAGAGAGAGAGAGAAAGAGAGAGCGAGAGCGAGAAAGCGAGCTGCCAAGTCCAGGACTTGAACCGTGGTCGGCCATGTGGGAGTCCAGCACCTTTAACCATCACAACACCTGCCAGCCGCAATCAGAAGACTTTTTTTAATCAGAAGACTTTAAAGAAGAGAGCTAAACAACCATAAATTGTTTTGCAATTGAAATTTTAAAGTAGATTTATAATAATGTGATCCTGTTAAAAGGTGCATTTTTAAAGAAGTGAAAGAAAATAGAGAACCCAGAGTTTTAGTCGTGTTCTATAGAAGTTATAAATAAATAAGAAAATGAACCACTGAAGGCGTAATTACCTTTAAATATCAGTTATGGCTAATTTGCTAAATAAATTTTAAAATATCAGTTACTTATTTGGTTACTTAGCTTTTTTTTGCTTTCTTTTTTTTTCTTCTTTACTATAGGGTGCATGGAGAGACAGGGTGGTGGGGGAGAGAAAGAAGGTGGGAAATCACTCCCCAGGGGGTCACCACACCACAGTCCCTTCTCCATTCCTCTCTTGAATTTGCTAAATAAATTTTAAAATATCAGTTACTTATTTGGTACTTAGCTTTTTTTTGCTTTCTTTTTTTTTCTTCTTTACTATAGGGTGCATGGAGAGACAGGGTGGTGGGGGAGAGAAAGAAGGTGGGAAATCACTCCCCAGGGGGTCACCACACCACAGTCCCTTCTCCATTCCTCTCTTGGGATTTTTGGGCGAGCACCTGCCTATACCAGGTGTAATTCTTAAGCCAGCGGGTCTGAGACTCAAATTGTGTAGTCAGTCATGTGGGGCCCAGTGCCTTAACTACCACGCAGCTTGCTGGTCTGCAAATCTTTATTTAGTGATCAAATGTTAGTGCCAGCTGCTTGGGGTACAATGATGAGTTAGATACCACAATAATGGAATATTTACTGTGGAAGTGCTTGAGACTCATATAGGACATCTACATAGAAGGGATGGTATCTTGAAGGGTGAGTAAAGAGGTTTGCTGGGGAAAAAATGAAGGCTTTCAGTAAAAACAGAGCAATACCTATTGTGTATCTTTTGTGTGCTGGGCACTGCCTTTGCTGTGGTAGCAAGCAGGACGTTGTCCTTGTTGTGGTGGGCAGAATCAGTTGAGACAAGCAAACAGGCAGTTACAAGACATTGTTTTGAGGGTACTGGTTGAGAGCTGTGTGGCATTGGACACACAGAGTATGTTTGTGTAAGGCCAGAAAGGGTTCCAGGGGAAGTGACGTTTAAGTTTCCAAGCACAGAGGTAGGGAAGACCATGGAGAGTTCTGTAGTTCCTCCTAGTTGAAATCTATAGTGAGTTGAGTAGGGAGGGTAGAGACAGGAGTTCTGGAAATCTAGAAAGAAAGGTCATGAATCTGAAATGTTTCTTTAATGAAAAAGGTCCAAACAATTTATCCTTGGATATACAAAGAGCCCAATTTATAAATAAGATTTTATGTAGAAGTTAAAATTTAAAATGTTTTTTTTTTCCTTCTAGTATTTAGCCTTGCAGGACCTGATGTTGCTTTCTCAGTATTCTCCTTCACGAAGACAAGAAGTTTTTAGCCTTAGCCAACCAGGTATTGCTAAAAGTAATAGATCTGATTAGGTGTGTGTATATAAAAAATGCTCCACTTAAAGTTTTTGGTGAGAGAGGTATATTTATTAAAATGTCACACATTGGTGAGTCTGCTAAATGAAATATTAAATTTTACACAACTTAAGTGTTCGCATTGCTATGGGTTGAATTATGTCACCCGGCAAAGTATTTTTAGACTTTTCCTTTGACCTGCTCCTTTTTTTTTTTTTTTTTTTTTTTTGAGAGGTTTTTGCTATAGGGCACGTGTGCTTGCCAGAAAGACAGAGAGAGACAGAGAGACAGAAAGCGAAAAATCACCTCCGGGCAGGGGATGGCCACGCCACAATCCCTTCTCCTCCATTCTTCACTCGGGATCTTGGACACACACACACACACACACACACACACACACACACACAGCGTGAGTTTAAGTCACCAGGTCCGGGACTCAAACTGTGGTCGACTACATGGGAGTCCAGTGACATAGCCATTACGCCAACTGTTGGTCTCTACCTCCTCCATTTCTTTTACCTGAAAAACTTATGCAGTAGATCGACAGTTTTAGAACAGAAAAGCAAAACTTAAAAATCAAAAAATTTTAATCCTGAAAATTATAAAAATCTGGAGGTCTTATCCTTAGATGGAGTATCTAAATTTCAGAGAGCATAGTGGCTTAAATAAAGTTAGTGTCAGAATTGGAAGAAGAATCATGTCATTTGACTCCCAAGTATAGATCTTCCCCTTGCTGCTATGCTACTCTGCTTCTCATTAAAAAAAAAAAAAAAAAAAGACTAGACTCTCTGGTGGTCCCAATGCTCTGAGCAGCTCCGAAACACTTCACTGTTTCTTGCCTCGCTGTTCAGGCTGCGACTGTCAGTGCTCTGCCTTGTTCCTGAGGGAAGGCAGTCCAGCTCTGGCCTCCAGTGAGGAGCAGAGAGGACCTGGTAGCTTTCATCTTCTCTCTAATCCGTTCTTTGTTGTTTTGCCAAACTTGTTGATTCCTACATTGTAAAATGCGCTTTTTATCGTTAATGTTATATGGAAATGAGATCCAGTGATATAAAAACATAATTGATTAGAACTACTCTTATTTTAGTAGCTTGAGAAATCCAGACTCGATACTGTGGAAGATTAACTGTAACAATACTTTTGTGTCAGTCTTGGTTAACTTAGGAATTATCTACGCAGTAAATATTTTTTTACCAGAGACTCAAGTAAACTGTAATAGGATGGCATGTGTTCTGCCAGAGAGCTTGCATTCTAAGGCATGTTATTAAAATTTAACTGGGTTTTTATGCTGTTACTAGTGGTTCTGAGTTAAAGCAGTACAGAAGATCCTGAGGCCTACTGATGAAGTATCTTGGGTGCGTGTGTTGGTTCGCAGGTTAAGTGGTAATCCTCTTGAGTTGTAAAAGGGAGAAATGATTAAGGAGGGATCAAAAGTGAAGAGGGAATAATTGGCACATGGGGTGGGAAAGCCAATTTTCAGTGTATTTCTCTATTTTTTAAAATTTCTTTTTAAAAATTTTATTTGTTGTCATTATTTTTTATTTTTAAAAATTTGACCAAAGAGAGAGAGAAAGAGAAGGAGAAGGTGAGAAATCAGGCAGCCAGGTCTGGGACACAGACTGCAGTCAGCCATGTGAGAGTCTAGCACCTTAACCACCACACCATCTTTCGGCCCCTTTCTCTGCTATTTTCAACACAGAACAAAGCTGGTTGTTTTTTACGTTGTAACTCTAGGAGACAGAGGCCTTGGAAAATCAAAAGATATTGAGTGATAAAGAGACTTTTAAAGAAGTGTGATTGTAGTAGTTTATCTCAGTTTAAATTAAAAGATATCAGACCTGTAAAGTCTCTAAGTATAAAATATGGTTATTTTCACATGTAGGAGTAGTAGCAAATGGGACAGTTATATAGTGAAAATGTAAGGAAACACAGTAGATCGGAAACGACTTTGGAGGTCCCGGGGACCATGGAGCACATCTCATTGATAGCCTGCGTTCATTGTCTTAGTTCACTGCTTATCTTAGCAGTCCGCTCAGTACTGCTAGTGAGGTAACCCTGGTCTTTTTCACTCAAGCCATTACCTAGTGTTTGGCTTTATTTTAGCCAGTAAAATAGGAAGTGTTTTGCTTGTAGACTTTTGGGAAATTCGTTCATCCAAAGAGCTATTGGATACCTGCTGTATATTTGATGGCACAAGTATCAAGAGTAGCTTAAATAAGAAGCAGGCCTCGTTGCAAAGTATAATGTTGCATTTCTATTGCTTTTTGTTTTTGTTTGTTCATTTCTTCACTTTGAGAGAAGAATATGAGAGTATCTACTTAAATGCTGATGTTTGGACCCCCTAGGTGGACATCCCCACAATTGGACAGCCATTTCAAGGGAGTGCTTGAACCTCTTACATGATATGACTCAGAAACTGGTTCTCTGCCAAGAAGCTGCTGCTACGAATGGGAGAGTATCTTCAACTTATCCGGTGGAACCTAAGAAACTCAATTCTTCAGGTAACTCCTTGTTACTAATACAGGGGAAAATATTTACATTTTATTTTCCAAGAACGATGACAGTAGCTAATCTAAAGGTACTTGTATGTGGCAAGCTGCGGTAGCACATTCTGGACCTTGTTACTCAGTAGTCTGAGGACACATGAGAGGCCAAGGTTTGATTCCTTGGCTGCTGTAAAAAGCCAGGCATGGTGGCAAGCACCTGTAGTCCAGCTAGTCAGGAGGCCGAGGCAGAAGGATTGCAACACAGCAAGACCCTGTCTTAAAACAAAAACACACACACAAAGGGCACTTAGGACCATGAGGTATTTATTTTTAGGGAAAATTTATCATAATTTTTTTTTTTAATTTCCAGAGGTGCATGTGGTTACCAGAAAGAAAGAGGGTACACACACCGCACAATGGGGCACAGTTATGTTACAGTACTTTTTCTTCCATTTCACCATCCCATCAGGATTTTGGACATGTATACATATGTGCCTGGCATTTTTCTTTTTCTAAAGAATTATTTTATTTGGACCAGCAGTTAGCGTAATGCCTATGTCACTGAACTCCTATGTAGTCAACCATGGTTCAAGTCCCAGACCCGGTGGCTTAAACTCACGCTGGGCGCTTGTGCATGCATGCCCAAGATCCCGAGAGGAGAATGGAGGAAAAGGGGTTGCGGCGTGGCCATCCCCCCCGGGGGGTGATTTCTCACTTTCTATTGCTCTGTCTCTGTCTTTCTGGCGAGCACATGCGCCCTATAGCATAAAAACCAATCAAAACAAACAAAAAAAGAATTACTTTATTTAACTTTATTTATTTTAATTTGACCAGAGAGTTACAGAGTGAGAGAGAGCAAGAGAAAGAGAGAGAAAGGGGGTGGTGAGAAAGCAAGCTGTCAGGTCCAGGACTCTAACCGCTGTTGGTCATGTGTAAGTCCAGTGCCCTTAACCACCATGCCCTAGAGTGTTTTTTAAGCCACCAGGCTGGGATTTGAGCTAGGCTGGGATGTGGGATTCAGCTCTGTGTACTTAATCATTACATGATGGAGCCAGTCTAGATACTGTATTGAACCAAGAAAAAGACCTGGATATCATTGTAGACTGAAAAAATTAGGTCTGAAACATCACATTTCACACCGTAAGTATGTACAACATCTTGTTCATTAATTGAAAAAATTGAAGACCTGTGCGGTGGTGGTGTTAAAAGGCTGGGGTCACCAGGAGGCCTGAGTTCAGTTCTTTGCCTAGCCTAAGTAGGCCAGGTGGCGGGGGCAGGGTGTGTGTGCCTGTGACCCCAGCTATCTGGGAGACTGGGTGAGCCAGGAGGATTGAGATTTGGTGAGACCTTGTCAAAAGGTACCTCTCTCTCTTCTCCCCATCCACCATTTGGGAAAAACAAACAAACACCTGATGAAGTGATGGTCATCAAATAGAAGACTTCAGCTTACTCTAGCACAAAGCCAGGTGAATCTTTATTGATAATACTGGATGCCATTCAGGTGATTAGGGCATTGGACTCCCACATGGTGAACGCTATTGGGGCCCCAGACTGTGTAGCTCGAAAATCACACCTGGTATGTTTGCTCATGCCCAAATCCTGAGAGGAGATTGGAGGACAAAAGATTGCAGTGTGGCCATCTCCCTGGGGGTCAATTTCTCACTTTTCCCCTCTATCTCTCTCCTGTGAACGTACATTTCCCATGGCAAAAACCTAAAATAATAATAATAAAGCAATGTGCAATAAAACTGGAGAAATTCAAATAATTAAAGCTCTTGTCACTTAAAAATGTGAATGATGAGTTCATTCAGAACAGCTTAGAGTTAGAAAAAATGTCCTTGAAGATTTTTTTTTAAGAATTACTTATTTATTTAATGCTATTTGTTATTATTATTTTTAAATTGACCAGACAGAGTCAGAGAGAGAAAGAGAAAGCGAGAAAGCAAGCCATTAGGTCCAGGACTCGAACCATGGTTGGCCATGTGGGAATCTAGTGCTCTTATCCACTATTTATTAAATGCCATTTGTTATTATTATTTTTAAATTGACCAGACAGTCAGAGAGAGAAAGAGAAAGCGAGAAAGCAAGCCATTAGGTCCAGGACTCGAACCATGGTTGGCCATGTGGGAATCTAGTACCTTTATCCACCACCTGCCAGCCCCTCCTTGAAGGTATTTATGGAGGGAGGAGAAACAAGAAAGGCTGCATTACTCAGACAGAAAATGATGGTACTTGAATGATTTTGAGTAGTAAAATCTGGATCTTGAGAACATAAACCTAGATGGAAACAATCTACTAAGCCTTAACTAAATGTGTTTAACAGAAAGTCGAGATAATAAAATCAGAGACCCTCCATGCTAGCTGCTTGGATTAGTGCTGAATCTGTTCTTTTACAGAAGAAACTACTTTTCAGACGCCAAAATCTAGCCAGATGCCTCGGCCCTCGGTGCCACCGTTAGTTAAAACTTCTCTGTTTTCTTCAAAATTATCTACACCTGATGTTACAAGTCCTCTTGGGACCCCGTTTGGCTCTAGTGTAATGAATCGGATGGCGGGCATTTTTGATGTAAACACCTGCTATGGGTCACCACAGAGTCCTCAGCTAACAAGAAGAGGGCCAAGATTATGGACTTCTGCTTCTGGTGAGGACTATTTATTTTTTCAAATTTGAAATATTAGTTTCAGAGGATCAGACAGTCTAAGTTCTCACCCTAATTTTTTTTTTTTGATAGATCAGCAAATGACTGAATTTTCTAACCCTTCTCCATGTACCTCTATTAATGCCGAGAATAAGACAGTAAGGCAGCCCAGTGTTATTTATTCCTGGATTCACAATAAACGCGAACAGGTAGGATGATGCGGTTTTAGGATTTATGTTTGCATGTCACATTGAGAGCATTATGGATCTCACATGAGAAAGTCATCAGGAATAGAGGATTTTTTGGTTTCGTTTTTGATGCTTCATGTATGTATTAAGTTGACCCATATTGAGCTATACAAATTGCAGTTTCATATGGCTTAACCTAATGTGATGCCTTTGATCTGTGAATTCTTTCATTTAAGAAATATTCGAGTTCTTTGTACACATAAGGTGTGGTTTTAGGCAGTGGGAAAAAATCTCAAACAACACAAAACCCTTGCCCATATGTTTCCATTCTAGCAAAGGAAAATATATGAGCAAGCAAACAGAGAAATAGAGGAGAAGGGATTGCAGTGTGACCACGCCCCAGTGGAGGTGCTTTCTTCCCCTCCCTCTCTCCATCTCACTGGCAAGTGTGTATGCCCTCTGGCAAATTTAAGAAAGAAAAACGCCAGATCTTTCAAAGCAGTTTTGCCGTAAGTGGATGAGAGCTATGGAGCAATAGTTGGGGTGAGTTCAGGAGTCAAGAAAGGATTTTGCTTGTTTTTTTTTTTTCTTTTTCTTTTTCCCTTTTTTGAGAAAGATTTTTGCCATATGTTACATGGATTTGCGGGAGAGAGATAGAGAGAAATACTGAGAGGGAAAGTGAGAAATCACCTCCCCAGAGGGATGGCTGTATCTTTTCCATCTCCCTCCTGGGATTTTGACCATACATACATAGGTGCCCAGTGTGAGTTTCTTTTTTTTTTTTTTTTTGAGAGGTTTTTGCTACAGGGCACGTGTGCTCGCTAGAAAGACAGAGACAGAAAGTGAGAAATCCCCCCCCCCGGGGGAGGTGGGGGATTGCCATGCCGCAATGCTTTCTCTTCCATTTTCCTCTCGGGATCTTGGGCACGCACGCACATGTGTCTAATGTGATCTAAGCCACCAGGTCCGGGACTGGAACTGGGGTCGACTACATGGGAGTACACGAACTGCTGGTCCCTCAGTGTGAGTTTCAAGCCACTGGGTCCAGGACTTGAACTGAGGTCAGCCATGTGAGAGTCTAGTGCTTTAACCACTACCCCACTTGCTGGCCCAGGTTTTGTTTTGTTTTTTGAGAGAGAGAGGTTTTGCTATAGGGTGTGTGTGTGCTCCCCGGAGAGACAGACAAAAAACGAGAAATCACCTGCTGGGGGGATGGCCATGCCACAATCCATTCTCCTCTTGGGATTTTGGGCACAGCACTCACACATGCCTTTTATGAGTTGTAGCCGCCAGGCCTGAGACTCAAACTACATGGGAGTCCAGTGACATAACCATATGGCATCTGCTGGTCCCAGGTTTTTGTTTTTGTTTTAAGATGGGAAAATGTATAACATATTTTCTGATGTAATGATTGATTAGTAGAGAAGAATTAAAGGCATTTTATGAACTTCATGATTCCATATGGCTCCACTGGCCATAAGTATTACCATGCTACTTTTTGTGTAGCAACTACACAGATGCTTCCTACTACGTCCCTCTGACTGGTCATACACCATTTGGGTGTGAGTATTGCAGGAGTGAGTTCACTTTGAAGTCTGTCAGATTAGCTTTCAGCTTGATACTAAGACAGTTTTTTCCACTTGTAAATGTTCGCTAATGGAAAACCACTTTGTGTCTTAAGAATATTTTTTTCTTGTAAGAGAAAAATGCTGTTTTTTTAGTAGTAAGAAGTTAAAGGGCAGGATAGTTATAGAGAGGGGGAAAATGTGTCTTAGAAAATACCACCAAAGGGGACCAGCAGATGGCGTGATGGTTACATCACTGGACTCCCATGTAGTCAACTGTGGTTTGAGTCCTAGACCCAGTGGCTTAAACTTACGCCAGGTACATATGCATGTGTGCCCAAGATCCCAAGAGGAAAATGGAGGAGAAGGGGTTGAAACATGGCCATCCCTCTTGGGGAGTGATTTCTCGCTTTCTTTCTGTCTCTGTCTTTCTGATGAGCACATGCGCCCTATAGCCTAAACCTCTCTTTAAAAAAAAAAAAAAGAAAGAAAAACAAAGGTAAGAAATACCACCAGAAGCACTTAGGATTTCTTTCATCATGGCAGGGCTTTATTTTGGGGGTTAACATGTGTACGTGGGGATATGGTTTAGGTTAGATAGCCCATCTTGATTATCCAGTTTATAGCAGAAAGATACTTACTTACATGGCTTATTGTAAATATATTTTTTATAAGATGTGAGATTTTTCATTCTTTAAGTTAGTGTCAGGAAGAACTGGGAATATGGAATATACTATATTTGTATGCTTTTAAAAATGGAAATGTAAGCATATTCTTCCTTTTTTTCCAACTCAGATTAAGACTTTCTTATCGAAACGGGTGCTGATCATGTATTTTTTCAGTAAGGTAAGAATATTCGGTTATACCATTGGAATGTGGGGAAAGGAAACGAGATATGAAATTAAACAGCAGACAGAATCTGACTTGTAAGTTATTTACGGCCTAATCCTAGCCAGCCAGGCAGCTTTGGATAGTACTCACTGAACCTCCGTTGTAAGGAAGTCGCCCCTGACACATCTCACCTCCCTGGTGTCCTGGATGTGACTCTGTAGTTGGTCCTCTGAGACTCTTGGCTGCCAGCAGCTCTGTGCTCAGAGGCAATATTGACCCCTTTACAAAGTGAGCAGATCCTTGGCTGCCTGATGCTTCATGGCTCGTTGTCCTGCTAACATCTTTGTGACAAATTTGGTGTACAAAAAGGAGATGACTGAGTTAGAGTGGTGTCAAATCTGTGATGGATAAAACGTCCTAATTCAGGCTACAACGGAAACGACTTTCCACCTTGTCTATCAGCTATTCCAGCTGCCACAGTAGAGTAAATTTCAGTTGCAGAAGCTAAAGATTCATTTCTATTTTCAGTACTTAAAGCCGTTGTGTTTTAATTAATTCTTTGATGAACAAAATCTTTGCTCTTACGAAGGGAAAGAATTTTTGGCTGTGGCTTTTGTTTTTTCTTTTCTTCTTTATTTTTTTTTTGGTTGCCAGAGGGCATATGTGTTCACCAGAGAGAGAGAGAGAGAGTGAGCAAGCACAAGTATACACCTAGTAGGTCATGGTCAGACCATAATTTCTTTCCTCCATTTCTCCTTCCTGTCAGGATTTTCGGCATGCACACCCTAGTGTTCGGCGTATTTTTTGAGCTTCTGGGGCCAGAGTGTGAATGGGCACATGAGACTTGGCTACCTACACACAGCGCTTAACCACTGTGCTATGGGGCTGGCTCATTGCTTTTGGCTTTTTAAATCTAGCTTCTCTTTGCAGATATTGCAGTATTAATTGATATCGCACTCACTCATATGCCTTTCAGTGAAAGTTTGCATTTGTATCAGTATTCATTTTTATTTGGGAGTCATACCTTGGTGGGGAAAGAGATCCAGGCAACCCTGAGAAAATACACATCTTTTCACTACATGATGTATGATAGATGCACATCTTTTCACTATGGTGAAAGATGCACCTAGCTAGCAGTTATCTCTACCAAAAAATAGTTTACCTGGGACTGTCCTTTAGAAGAAGTGTCTTCTCTTTTGGCAAGAGTGACAGGGGTTGTCTGAAGTTTTTTTTCAGTGCTTTGTTTCAGGTAAAAACCTGGGCTGTCTTATGCATGCCACGCTCTTTCCAGTGAAGGTCTTTTGCTCAATTGTGACACCATTTCTATGAGTTAAGTCTTTTGCCCTCATTTTATCGATAAGGAAACCTGAGGCTCAGAGGAGTCAGCTAGCCTAAGAGCACATAGTAGTGGCACAGCTGATTCTGACCAAGATCTTTTTCCTTGGAAGTGAGTGGCTACTTTTGACTCTGATTTTGTTCCCGCGTCTGTTGTGTGATAAGGAGTTGTAGACACTGCTGTTTGTTACTGAGAAATGTAACTTGTTATGTTGTGCTTAATAAGCTTGATCGGGCGTGTAACCAAAGCCACCATTTGTTTAAATGTTGGCCACTTGGTTGCTCACACTTTTTGCCCATGGTATATTAAAGAAGGTTAGGAGATTTTCTTTGGTGTGGGTAGTGGGTGGACAATGGAACAGAGGTATAATAATATGAATTAGGCAATTCTTTTGTTTTAAAAAGAGCTTTTGTAACTTTTCTCTTAAGTGATTTCTGTTTTAATCCCCTGAGGTCGGTTAAGCCTATGTGATACTTATTTTAAATAAGAAACTGAGGCACAGAGAGATTAGAGATGTGACAAAGGCCACAGTAAGTTGATGTCGGAATGCTTTGTAGTAGTTAAATCAAAAACTATCAATCAGGTTTTAATAAAGATTATTTCAGATTTGAATCCGTAAGAGACAACTCTTCATTTTTCCTTATTGTAATCTACTTAGTCGATTAAATGAAATAATAGAATTTTTGCTCAAAAAAACTTACTTAAATGTTTTGTTTTATTTATAGCACCCAGAGGCCTCCATTCAAGCTGTTTTCTCAGATGCTCAAATGCATATTTGGGCATTAGAAGGTAAATAATCTCTGTGAATTATAAATATGATTTTAATTATAAGTTAGAGTATAATTTATGAGCGATCTATTCTGGATTTATGTCTCAAGAATTTTCTGGGGACCGACAGATGGCATAATGGTTATGTCACGGGACTCCCACATAGTCGACCATGGTTCAAGTCCTGGACCTGGTGGCTTGAAACTCACACTGGGCACATGTGTGTGTGTACCCAAAATCCAAGGAGGAAACGGGAGGAGGACGGATTGTGGCGCAGTTATCTCCCTATGGGGCGATTTCTCGCTTTCTGTCTCTCTGTCTCTACAATGAGCGCACGTACTCTACAGCAAAACCTCTTTAAAAAAAGATGAATTTTCAGAAAAAAAATTTTTTTCAGAAACATTTTTATCTTTGTCTTACATAGATCATTTTCCCAAGATGTTTAAGTGTACTTTGATTTTGCAAAATCTTTTCTTGTACATAAACAGAAATTGAACCTGGGATTCTTTTATGTCCTTTTTTTTTGTTTTTTTTTTTTTAAAGAATTGTTTTACTTAACTTTATTTATTTTAATTTGACCAGAGACGGGGAGAGAGAGAGAAATATTTTTTGCAGGGGATGGCAGAGAGGTATTTGCTATAGGGCATGTGTGCTTGCCAGAAAGACAGAGACAGAGAGACAGAACGCGAGAAATCACCTCCCAGTGGGGATAGGCATGCACGCACACACGCCCAGCATATGTTTAAACTACCAGGTCTGGGACTCGAACTGCGGTCAACTACATGGCAATCCAGTGACATATCCATTACGCCAACTGCTGGTCCCGGGAAATCATTTTTTATTTGGGGAGAGAAAAAATAAATTGTTCTTGGGACCAGCAGATGACATAATGGTTACTTTGTTGGACTTCCACATAATTGACCACTGTTCGAGTCCTGGACCCAGTGGCTTAAAACTCATGCGAGGCATGTGTGCATGCATGCCCAAAATCCCGACAGGAAAATGAAGAAGGGGCTGTGGTGTGGCCATCCACCTGAGGGGTGATTTCTTCTATCTCTCGGTCTCATTCTCTCTCCAGCAAGCACATGTACCCTATAGCAAAAACTCCTCTTAAAAAAAAAAGTTTGGTTTTAACTTACTTTGAAATTTAAAAAGAAATTACTAGAGGGTGTGTGCACTGGCCAGAGAGAGAGACCAAGACACAGAAAGAGAAAATGAGAAAGCATCCCTTAGGGGGAATGGTCACATCACAGTCCCTTCTCCTCCATTTTTTCCTCTTAGGATTTTGGATACACACACACACACACACACACACACACACACACACACACACTTACACAGTGTGTCTCTCAAGCCACAGGGTCCTGGACTCGAACTGCGCAGTCATCCTTGTGGGATCCAGCTGCCTTAACCACCATACCACCAGCCGGCCCCAACTTATCTTAAATATGAAAACTTACTTGTTAAAGAACTGTTTATTTTTATCTTATAGATACATCGTCTGATGCTTCCATGATAGTCAGGAGACTATTCTTTTTTTTTTTTTTTTCCTTCAGAGAGGTTTTTTTGCTTGCTAGAGAGACAGAAAACAAGACATCATCCCCCAGGAGAGGTGGCCATGCCACAATTCCTTCTCTTCCGTTTTCCTCTCGGGGTTTTGGGCACACACATACACGCGCTTGGCGTGAGTTTTAAACCATGAGGTCTGGGACTCAAACTGTGATTGACTATGTGAGAGTTCAGCGACATAACTATTATGCCGTCTGCTGGTCCCAGGGAGGCCATTCTTGACTGTCCTGTGAAAAGTATCCTTTGTCTTCTACTCCCTTATCATGCTTTGCTGCCCTTCCTAGCACTGATCACTACTCAGCAGTATCACTTAAGATGGTTTCCTCATAGAATGTGAAGCAGGGACTTTGTCATTTTCTTCACAACTAATGAGCTGAGCACCAGCAGTGGTAGTGCCCGTCCTGATCTGTGCCCATCTTTGCGCTGTGTCGCCTCCTCTTTGGTTATAGTTCTTTTATTTAGACTCTTAAGTAGATGTATTGCAAATAGATTTGCCTAGTTTTTATTCACTTTTAACACTTATCTTTTCTCGTTAAGGTCTGTCTCACTTAGTAGCAGCATCATTTACAGAAGACAGATTTGGAGTTGTCCAGACAACACTCCCAGCCATCCTTAACACCTTGTTGACACTGCAAGAGGTAAGCGGTCTGTGGGCTGGCAAGGAGAGCTCGTTCCCTTCTTTCTTCCTCCCAGTGCAGCTCATTCCCTCCTCTCCCTTGAGCTCTAGTTTTAGTTTCTTTATATTCGTTAAGTAACATAACATGTTGGAAGTCAAAATAACACCAAGGTGGCGTGGTGGTTCAAAAGTGCTGGACTCCCACGTGACTGACTGTGGTTCAAGTTCTGGACCTGGTGGCCTGCTTTCTCACTCCCCCCCACCCTCTCTGATCAAACTGGAAAATCATACTAATAGTAAATAAAGATTTTTTTTTAGAGAGAGAGAGATTTTTGCTTTAGGGTGCATACACTCACTGGAGACATAGAGACAGAAAGTGAGAAATCAGTCCCTGGGGGGAGGGCCACATCTCAATCACTTCTTCTCCATTCTCCCCTTGGGATTTTGGGCATGCACACACATGCCCCTGGCTACTGGATCTGGGACTTGAACTGTGGTTGACTATGCGGAAGTCCAGTGATGTAACCATTATGCTATCTGCTGGTCTCAAATAAAATTGTTATTATTATTATTATTATTTGGAGAGGGCGCATATGCTCATCAGAAAGACACAGAAATAGAGAGACAGAAAGCGAGAAATCACCCCCCAGGGGGGATAGCCATGCTGCAATCCCTTCTCCATTCTCCTCTCAGGATCTTGGGCATGCACGAACAGATGCCTGGAGTGAGTTTAAGCCCCCGGGTCTGGGATTCCAATCATGGTCAGTTACATGGGAGTCCAGCAATGTAGCCACCATGCCATCTGCTGGTCCCAAGAAGAGAAAACTATTCATTTGCTTATGAAAATGTATGGACAGGCCAGCCTGTGACCTGGTTCAGGAAGCTTGTTCCCACATAGCCAACCTCACAGTTTAAGTCCCAGACCCAGCAGCTATCCTTATTTAGAATATTGGAAGTCTGTTTAGTGATCTGTAATTGATAGCTACTGAAAGTGGGCTTTAGTTAGATTACTCATGTGGATGAGTTCCCTGATGGCCAGAGGCTCAAGAGCTAAGGGGAGTGGATGCCCATCTGGGTCGTTAGTTTTAACTAACAGATCTTTTTTTATTTTTGGAGAGGTTTTTGCTATAGGGCGCATGCGCTCGCCAGGCGAGACAGAGACAGACATAGAGACAGAAAGCGAGAAATCACCCCCCAGAGGGGATGGCCACACCTCAATCCCTTCTCCATTCTCCTCTCGGGATCTTGGGCACGCACGCACACGCGCCCAGCTTGACTAACAGATCTTTTCAGTGCTAGACCTTATAGGCAGAAAAATAAAACATGTGCTTTCTGCTTTCCAATAGGCTTCCTTTCCTAGGTTCGTGTTGAACATTATGTTTTAAATCACTTTTTAATACTTCACTATTACATAAGAGGTGTAAACACTGAGTGTGAGAGGCATTTAGGGTTAGTTCTGGGGTGTGTGTAGACTTTCTGTAGGAGGTGGTATTGAACCAGGTCTGAAGGGTAATAGTTGGTGCATCTTTTGGTCTTAGAAAGCCATTTAAGATAGGAGGCGGGCCAACCTGTGGCCTAGTGGTAAAGGCAGCTGGGTCCTACATGGCTGGCTGTGCAGTTTGAGTCCCACACTTGGCAGTTCGAAAAGCATGCCAGGTGTGTGTGCATGCCTGCCCCAAATCCTGACTGGATGGAAAAGCAGAGAATGGATCACAGTGTGACCATTCCCCATGGGGAGTGCCCTCTGGGAAATTAAAAAAAGAAGAAAGATAAATACACTTCATTGTTTCTTTAAAACTCAGTTCAAGGGGACTAGCAGGTGGCATGGTGGTTAACCACACATAGCTAACCACAGTTCGAGTCCTAGACCTGGTGACTTGCTTTTTCTCTCTCTGGTCAAATTAAAATAATGAATGAATAAACAAAATCAAACAAATAATTCTCAAACAACAACAACAACCTCAGTTCAAGAACCACGCATGGTGACATGTGGTCCCAGCTACTCAGAATGCTGAGCCAGAATCATGACACAGCCAGATACTGTCTAAAACCATCCCCATCCCCCCCACACAAACTTGCAGTTTATCTTATCTCTTAGAAAATCATCAAAACCAGCAATTTACTTATTTATTTATTTTGCTTTGGATAAGCAGTCCTTGGGCTCACTTTCTCACGTATGTTCATGTGGATAGTTCTGTTAGTTGAGCTCTTTCCCAGCTACCTTTGTCTAAAGAAATAATTTCCTGGTATGTGCCCCCTGGTTTCTAACTACATAGTCAGGTAACCATGAGTTGGGCCTGTCTTTTGTGCACATGGCATTGTTCATTTTTTGGCACTCTGCCTCTGCGTTGTTTAGAATAAAACTACAGTAAGGATGTAGTGCTTTATAGTCTATGGAATGACTTCATATTATTATTTTCTCTGCTTATAAATACCTTGTGAAGTAAATAAGGTAGAGATATGGGGACCAGCAGATGGTATAGTGGTTAAGGGCGCTGGACTCCCATGTGACTGACCACGGTTCTAGTCCCAGACTGAGTGGCTTGCTTTCTAGCTTTCTAGCTTTCTCTCTCTTTCTCTCTCTCACTCTGTCCTTCTCTGGTCAGATTAAAATGGATGGATAAATAAATAAAGTTAAAACAATTTTTTTTGAGAGGTTTTTTGCTATAGGGTGCGGTACGCTCACCAGACAGACAGAGAGACGGAAAGCGAGAAATCACCCCCCAGGGGTGAGTTAAAATAATTTTTTAAAAATGGAATCTCTTTAAAAAAAAATAAAGATATGTGGGACCAGCAGTTAGCGTAATGGCTATGTCGCTGGACTCCCACGTAGTCGACTGCGGTTCAAGTCCCGGACTCGGTGGCTTAAACTCACACCGGGTGCGTGTGCGTGCGGGCCCAAGATTCCGAGAGGAGAATGGAAGAGAAGGGATTGTGGTGTGGCCATCCCCCCTGGGAGGTGATTTCTCGCTTTCTGTCTCTCTGTCTCTGTCTGTCTGTCTGGCGAGCGCACACGCCCTATAGCAAAAACCTCTCCCCCCCCCAAAATAAAAAGATATGTTAGCCCTGCTTTGCAGATGAAGTAGTTCAGCGACTTAACTTCAGGTGTCACACATATGTCTCATAAGTGGCAGAGGTGAGACTCAAACCCCTTCTGATCATAGGGCATCAGCAATACAGCAGACCCTGGAAAAGCTGCATCTCTACGTTGCTTATTCCTCCCAAACTTGTCTACCATCTTGTCCTGAGTACCTTAGCCCCCAGCCGCGGTAGGGCTTTGTCTTTAGATGGAATAGTTCTGCCCTTAGAACTGTGGCTTTTGGAGCTATGATCTGTAGAATGTTTACATTAGATGCACTGTGTGTGTGTGTGTGTGTGTGACACAGACAAAAAAAGATTTTCGAATAGTACTTACCTTTTATTGTGTATAATGCTTTCCAACAGTTTCCCTTTTTTTGGAGAGGTTTTTGTTATAGGGCGTGTGCGCTCGCCAGACAGAGAGAGACAGAGAGACAGAAAGTGAGAAATCACCCCCCGGAGGGATGGCCACGCCGCAATCCCTTCTCCTTCATTCTCCTCTCGGGATCTTGGGCACGCACACACACACGCGACTACGTGGGAGTCCAGCGACATAGCCATAACGCTAACTGCTGGTCCCTCCAATAGTTTCTATTCTATTTTACTTTTAAAAAAATGTTGGTTGAAACTCACTGAATTGATTTCATAAAGATCAGACTGCCCTAGGTATTCTGCCCCAGAATCACTCTATTATCTCCTATCAGCAAATGCCTAGTTCTTCTTCATAGCTGATTAAAATGAAAGCAGTCTGTGTATGTGACTATAGTCATTCATGTCTTTGGTAGGAAAGTAAGAATTATGGATTTGTCAAAAGGTCAGGCCCTGTTTACTTAGAAACAGAAATTGGAATATAGACTATTTCAGAGGAGCAGAGTAGAAAGAGGCAGGCCATTTTGGATGTTGGGAAGATGCAAAAGGAACAGAGGACAGGACCAGAGACCTGGTGCTTACCTTCTGACTATGAAAACCTTTCCTCACGTGAGGCTTGTGTCCTCTGTTTCCCCTGAGCCACATCCCAGTCAGCCTCTTGGTCACACTCTAGTCACCAGATTTCATGAACTGCCTCACAGTCTCTTTTCAACTCCACATGCTGAGATTGATGTTAAGAGTAATTCAGTGTCCACACAGGGAATCTGTCCCAGTCCTGTGACCCACTCACAGACCCTCCTAACAGTCACCTGGGCCTCAATATCCTCTAAATACTCTGCTTACAAAACTGGAAACACCCGGATTCTGCTCTGTGATTCAGAGTTCAAACATGTTCAGTCTGGGGAAAACCCTGGACTTCTTTTCAGAATGATGTTCTTAAATGCCTAGTGTTGCTGTTGGCGATTTTTATTGGTGACAAGGTCACGGGAACTGGTAATGCTACTGTGACTTGTTGCTTAAACTCATAATTGAAGATAATATTAAAGTTTAATTAGAACTTAATGAAGATAAACTTTTTTTTTTAAGTTTATTTCTTCCATGAGAGAGAGAAAGAGACAGAAACAGGTACCCCAGTAGACCATCACACCATGATTTTAATTATACTATTATTTTAATTTGCTATAGGCCACATGTGCTCACCAGAGAAAAAGTGAGAAAGCAAGTCACCTGGTCTGAGACTCAAATCAGTTGGTCATGTGGGAGTCCAGCTCCCCAACCACCTGCTGGCCCCAAACATGTAGTTTTTATTCCAAAGTTCTTTTTTTAAAAAAATATTTATTTTATTTATTCATTTATTTTTTAATTTGACCAGAGAGAGACAGAGGGTGAGAGTGAGAGAGAGGAAGTGAGAAAGCAAGCCACCAGATTCAGGACTCAAACCCTGGTCGGCCATGTGAGAGTGTCCAGCACCTTAACTGCCATGCCACCTTAACTTAACTACCACCTTAACTATAACTTTTCCAAAGTTCTTATCCCGTAAATCTTACCCGTAGGTCTGCAGACCCCAGTGTAAGA